CGTGATAGAACTATGTTATAATATGTAGGTCATCGTAGAAGGAATCAAAGATAATATGCATATATTAATATCTCCGGCAATTAATTAGTGAAATGTAATATAAATTTAAATTTCACAACAATAATCGATATATCGAGAATTGGTAGTCTAACCTACCACGCTCAATACATACAATGATGGAGCCTGTGCTAGACGAATCTATTGAATTCTGCGGAGTATGGCCTGTTAAGTAGCCCTTAGTGTCACCACGAAGACGCCGGTCACTTCCACAGTGTGTACACACCAATGCAATACTAGTATTGTGTTTATATTTACATATTTGTCTCGTAAACTATTCATCCAATCAAAGTTATTGAATTCGTCACAATTCACGTTCAAGTACAGTTGATACGCTAGTGTGTATTCCTGAATAAGAGTTATAACGCAAACACTACTAATATAACTCTTTCTGTCCATGCCTGTCTATACGTAGGTGAGTTGTACGTTAAGTAGATAATGGCTCCAGTGAGCAAAATACGATATTAATTATCCAGAAGTCTTTGTATTAATTAAAACTAAGTGCGATCAATTTCTTTCTTGTCACCAAGGAGACGCAGGGGACTGAGACAATTTGCATAATGATATCATGTTAAATTGTTCAAATTAATTGTCCCGCGTAAATTTATTTGGGTTATGAAAAACTTCTTGTTTTGTAAAATAACATGTGATATTATTTAAATTATCACGTGAGAAACTCATGTGAGCTCATAAAGAGTATTTTTATTGTTGAAACTATTTTGTTTATTGTCTGCTATATGACGCAGTTGGAAATAATACTACTCAGTGGCGGCGGTACAGGGGTCCCCCTCGAAAAAAATTTTCGGGGACGTTGCCCCTTCAAAATCAAGCTGAAACCCTTTGTGTCAGTAAAATTTGCGCCTCAAATGCGGGAAGTAGCGCTTCAGAGGGTCTATATTTCAAAATTGTTAAGGGGAAGCATGCCCCGGACTCCTTAGTAAGGTCGCGCCTTCGGCGCAAGGTTGGTGAGCAGATCTCGCCCCGCCATGCAAAATGTTGTGCCGCCGCCTCTGATAGTACGTGTGATATCCTTCATCGCCAGCTTCTAGGTCAATAATGGTGATGCTAAATTCTCAAAGCGAAATAACTCCCTTATATACACTCGATGACACAATACATTACTTTATTTACCAATTCTTATAAATTCAGCTGATTTTTGAATTATTGAACGCAATGAGTTTTATGTAAAGCAATTTTAAATATTAAGATAAAATATCAAATGTCTTACTTTGCTTAACCTAGCAGTACTGGTTGTCGCATAGTTACTTACTAATCGTACTTAGGTCACTTCACAAATTCACATCCGGGTAATTGCCAGCCGGTCATATGGGGGCGTGGTTTCGTAATATTAATCTACAGGAGGCGCGCTGAGTAACTCAGTATAGCCTGTCCTGCGATCCGTGCATTTGGTTCAGTGTGCACTCACTGCGGTAACACCGTAAAGCGCAGCTGGCTGACCTGTCATGACATTTATATGACATCAGTTTCCTGAAGCAATTTTTCTAACATTGGAGTATATATCTTAATAATTATGTCGTGTCTACGTTGGACGTTGTTTTCACGAGTTAAGGATATTTAATTACCGCTGGGTTGTGAGCGTTGTAGAATGGCGGCGTTTTCAGGGACCTGGCTGCAACTCACAACATATATATGTGTCTATTATTTAACGTTCCTTTCACATGGTAAGTACTGTGTTGTTTGCTTAGAAACAAATACCAATATCGACCGTATTAATTGCTTCCGACGACATGCCTCGGTAAACCCGAGTCAAGTTTCGCGTAGGTCACTGCGAGCCAATTGTTGTGTTTTTATAGGGAAAATTCTGTTGGAATGTTAGTACACACGTTGAACTGTGTAACCCCGTTCCTAATATAAGTCTGTCTCAGGTGTGAGTAAATACAATGTCATTGGGTTGTCATTAGTAAACATCGAATGATTCTACGCTGATACATATCAGCACTCCGACCCGCACTAGTTAGGATACAGTTTTCATTTACAGACAGAATAATTTGACT